CCATGTAACAGAGCCTTCCCAGTTTTTTAACTCCTCTGTTGGCTGTATGGCCTAATTGGCACTTAATCATTAGTTTTCCAGCATAACTGATAAGTTAGAATTTTAAGGTTAAATGTGATAAATCGGTACAGAATGATGTTTGTTCCGTTGATGTCCATCAGGTTGCTGCAAAACATTGAAACAAGGCCTGATCCTCTTCTGCCACTGTAACTTTTTCAACACTTGACAATCTTTTTCTCAGCCTTCAATCCTCACCAGCTTTTACTCTATAATTCAATTGATTTAATTCAATATACAGAACAAACGGACCAGTCAACACATCATGGGATCGATGGTTTGAAGGGCCCCAGGAGTCAAAAGGTTGCAGATGCAGAATACTTTGATTTGTCGAGTTCTAACATTTACTGCAATTTGTTGCAAGAGGGTTGTGAATCTTCTGTACACAAGATGTTGACTTACAGCGAGATTGTTATCTGAGATTCGTTAACGAATGTTTTCCACTGCGTGCAATACGAGAGTCCTTAGATGATTCAATTCTTTTACATATCCAATCAGCTCGCATTCATGTATGTAAGTCTGTAAATCGAATATATCTATTGCAGAGATTTGATGCATGTTAACCGGAAATCTTATCTGATATTGAGTTGAGTTTTTATGTTTTCTACCTCATTTTTCTTGAGCTAATTTTATCGCATTTTTCTACCTCATTTCACCAATTAGCGTATGAATCGAGGATGAGTTAATATATGAATTGAGGAACCGAAGTAATGTTGTTCCCATGAACTTCCACTTTTTCTTTGCATCTCATAAAGAGACCTACTTTTTTGAAGATTTCACGAAAATTTCTGTCATTGTTTATTGGATTTTGTATGTTATTTATAAGCGAGACCAGTGTCTCGTGTACCAATCACGACCTATGAATCTGTATTAATTTGATATATAATTATACAAATATTGTATTAGAATGGTTATTAAGTAAAGAGTATAAAAATTTAAAGTGTAATATAGTTGTTAAGCATAATATTAATGTTTACAATAATGCTTTGTAGATTTTTTTTAATTTATAAAATTAGTTGAAATTTTATGTACAAATCACGACATGAATCACTACTAATTTAAGATATAATTATACGAATAATGTATATTGTATAGTATTATTTGACCAACTTTATTTATATACACATTTTTTTTTCGTAAAAATAAATTAATATTATTATAAATTAAATGTAATTAATTTATAATATTTAATATAATTAAATAAAATTTAATTTATTAATATATCGGTTTAAATTGTGACATATATATGTATATATATTTGGAAAAACATAAAGTATGATAAGAATGGTTAGCTAAATCTGAAATACGCGCTTGCGGCGGACTTGAACAGTCACCGAAGAATCAAAGATCTATCCTGCACCCTTCTTCCAGAAAGAGCAACTGAAACGGCTTCCTCTTCTCTTTTCCTATCAGAGCCGCCTCCGTCTATTCCCAAAAAACAAACCCTAAAGAATCTATCTCTCTTGATTGCGCTATCCCAACGGAAGCTTCATCTTATTCTTCCTTCATCGAAGTCCTTTCACTTCCTCATAGATTCACCAGCGTCTTCCAGTTTTCAACAGCCATAGACCCCTAGTATACACGCAATTTCTACTCTGTATTATCTTTTGAATCACGCGAAACCGGCGCTCTCATCGTCGCGGCCAAGATGGAGAGTAGTTTCGTTTCTTGATTACTGAAGGTTTGGGAAGACTAAAATGCTTAATGGAGGAGTGAAGCTGCATTTGTGATTTTCTGTTAAATGAGGAGTGGTGCTGCGTTTGGTATGCTTTCTGCAAATGTTGTTAATCAACTCACGCTGTATTATAGTTAGCGACTGTGCTTGTCTATATCTTCTACCGCACGCTTGCAAATTCCCCTTTTCTGCCTCATTCTTGGATATCAAAGGCGTGAATGGATTTAACGCACGACTGGAAAGCTCAGTTTCCAGTTCGCAAGGATGGGCCACTTCTCCTTTCCGGCCAAATGTCGAGATCCATCTTGGGTCCTCTCTTCTTCAAACCAAAACCCGAATACCAACTTCTCTTTTTCTCTCCAGCTCTCCTTCCTCCCCTCCTCCCTCCTGCACCTAAACTTTCTCTCTCTCGCTTCCTCACTACTTCTTCCGATTCCCCTGTCCCCCTCTCCACCTCCTCCTTGATTGCCTCTCTTTTTGGCTCCCAGTATCCAAGGGATGCTGCTTTCTCCCTCTCCCACAATCGCCTCCAGTTTCTTCCATGGCCAGGTAATCAGGCAGCTTTGGTGTTCTTTTCTACTGGCTCTAACCACGACCAAATTGGGTTTCTAGTGCTTTCAGTTAAAAACTTAAGTTTGGATGTCAAGGTTGCTGATAATGGTGATGTTTTTGTGGCTAAGGATAGGTTCAATTGTCGTATATTGAGGATTTTAGTGAACCCGGTTGATGATTTCTTAGGTTATTTCGGTAATTCTTTTATTACTATTGGTTACGTAATGGCTTGGACTATGTATTCTGTTCATTGGTATAGTGTTAAATCAAGTGAATCTAGTGAAAGACCACTTTTGGGTTATATGGGTTGTAAATTGTTCAAGAGTTGCTCTGTTGCTGGTGCTTGTTGGAGTCCACATTTACCTCAAGAGAGTTTGATCTTATTAGAGAGTGGTGCATTGTTTTTGTTTGATTTGGGAAAAAAATCTCATACCCGTCTTAAAGGAAATAAGCTGAAGGTATCATGGGATGACTCTGGTAATTATAAGTGGTTGGGCTGTGAGTTTAGTTGGCATCCTAGGATTTTCATAGTTGCTAGATCAGATGCTGTCTTTTTGGTTGATCTGAGGTTGGACGAGTGCTACACGACTTGTTTAGAAAGATTGAGACCTTAAGCATGTATGCTCAAGTTGGAAAAGAGCGATTCCTTGCATTTTCTAAAGCAGATATGACGGGTTTCAGTTTGTTTTGGCTTCAGACAGTCTATATTTCTTTGTGA